AAAAAAAAAAAAAAAAAAAACAAAGCCAGAGGCATCACACTGCCAGAGTTCAAACTATACTACAAGGCAACAGTAATCAAAACAGCATGGAATTGGTACCAAAACAGAGACACAGACCAATGGAACAGAACAGAAGCCTCGGAAGCAACACCACACATCTACAACCATCTGATCTTGGACAAACCTGACAAAAACAAGCAATAGGGAAAGGACTCCATGTTTAATAAATGGTGTTGGGAAAACTGGCTAGCCATGCGCAGAAAGCAGAAACTGGACCACTTTCTGACACCTTACACTAAAATTAACTCCAGATGGATTAAAGATTTAAACATAAAACCTAACACCATAAAAACTCTAGAAGAAAATGTAGGCAAAACCATCCAGGACATAGGCATAGGCAGGGACTTCATGAATAAAAGACCAAAAGCAATGACAACAAAAGCCAAGAAAGACAAACAGGATCTAATTAAACTTCAGAGCTTCTGAACAGCAAAAGAAACTATCATTAGAGCAAATCGGCAACCAATTGAATGGGAAAAAATTTTTGCAATCTACCCATCTGACAAAGGACTAATATCCAGAATCTACAAAGAACTAAAACAGATATACAAAACAAACAAACAAACCCATTCAAAAGTGGGCAAAAGATATGAACAGACACTTTTCAAAAGAAGACATTTATGAGGCCAAGAAACATATGAAAAAATGTTCATCATCACTGGTTATTACAGAAATGCAAATCAAAACCACATTGAGGTATCATCTCATGCCAGTTAGAATGGTGATCATTAAACAATCTGGAGAAAGCAAATGCTGGAGAGGATGTGGAGAAATAGGACCACTTTTACACTGTTGCTGGGAGTGTAAATTAGTTCAACCATTGTGGAAGGCAGTATGGCGATTTCTCAAGGATCTAGAAATAGAAATTCCATTTGACCCAGCAATCCCATTACTGGGTATATACCCAAAGGCCTATAAATCATTCTATTATAAAGACACATACACACGTATGTTCACTGCAGCCCTGTGTAAAACAGCAAAGACCTGGAACCTGGACAAAGAAAATGTGGCACATATACACCATGGAATACTACGCAGCCATAAAAAACGATGAGTTCGTGTTCTTTGCAGGGACTTGGGTGAATCTGGAAACCATCATTCTCAGCAAACTGACACAAGAACAGAAAACCAAATACCACATTTTCTTACTCACAGGTGGGTGTTGAACAATGAGAACACGTGGACTCAGGGAGAGGAGCATCACACACTGGGGCAGTGGGGGGGAGGGGGCAGTAGGGGAGGGACAGCAGGGAGAAATAACATGGGGAGAAATGCTGGATAAAGATGAAGGGGGAATAGAGGCACCAAACCACCTGGTTATGTATGCACCTATGCAACAACCCTGCATGATCTGCACATGTACCCCAGAACTTAAAGTAAAATAAAATTAAAAATTAAAAAAAAAAAAAGATATTCTTCTATTGGAAATTTGACAGGTTGAAGAGGAAGTATCTAAACTAAGGGCTCCCGACAAACAGTTCAACCTGATCACCCAAAAGTGTAGTTCAAAGTTGACAGACCCAACCATATACTCAGAGTGTTCCAAACAGTTTACAGCTTTTTATTTAGCTCTCCACTCTTAATCACAAGCAGAAAGCCACAGATTGCCAATCATTTGAGGAAAGCATATACTCAGGGCTTTCCAAACAGCTTTTTATTTAGCCCCCTCAACTCTTAATAATGAGCAGATGGCCACGGATTGCAAATCATTTGAGGAAAGCCTTTAACATGGAAAACAAAGACAAAAGCAAATAAAAGGTGAGGGGAAAACAACAACAACAACAAATTAGCAGAAACAGACATTTTGGAAGAAAAAGAAAAATTCCCCAAAAAACTACCATTTACACTCTCAGAGAAAATATTGTATTGGCGACACAAGAAAAGGATGCTAAAGAAAAAGGAACATCCAGAGAAACAGGGAAAAAGAAAGGCGAGGTAGAGAAACAGACACACACATACACGCACACAGATGACGAGGAAAGGAGGGGAAAAAGAAGGAGATGGATGGAAGGGGAGAGCAAAGATGCGAGGATGACCCTAAGATTAATGCTGTATAGCAGAAGCTCAGAGCAAGCAGTCTAAGCAGTACAGATGTGAGCAGGAAATTACAAAGCTCCAAGTGGCATGCCTCCCAAAAAGGATAAAACTGGTAAAATATCTGCTGTGTTTTTTGTTTTTGAGACAGAATTTCACTCTTGTTGCCCAGGCTGGAGTGCAATGGCACAATCTCAGCTCACTGCAACCTCTGCCTCCCAGGTTCAAGCGATTCTCCTGTCTCACCCTCCCAAGTAGCTGGGTACAGGCGCCTGCCACCAAGCCGGGCAAATTTTTACATTTTTAGTAGAGATGGGGTCTCATCATATCGGTCAGCCTGGTCTCAAACTCCTGACCTCAGGTGACCCACCCGCCTCGGCTTCCCAAAGTGCCAGGATTCCAGGCGTGAGCCACTGCAGCCAGCCAATATCTGCTGTTTCAGTTCTGAAAAATAACAGTTCAGCAAATCTGAAAGGATTACTATAGCAAACACTGATTAAAATATCACAAATGATATATGTTGTGACTTTATCAGAAACTCAGTAGTAGAATTTAAAAAGCAATAGTAAGCAAGACTGTAAAAAAAGCAGCAGTTAAAAATGTACAGTAAGTTAGGAATGTTTAAAAAAAGAGCTAATGACTGAAACAATGTAAAAGATGAGAAAATGATGAGTTAAAGATATCTAGTCCTTTATCACTCAAAAAAAAGCTAGAAAGTTCTGATTCACTTTAGATGTCATTAATTACACAACAAAAACACAAAAGAATGTAACCTTTTGAGCTCATTGAGAAAAAGAAAAATAAGATACTCAAACAGAAGAGCAGCAAATAGAAAAAAGATGCAAAGAAAAAAATGAAACATGTAAGACAGTAGAAATAAGTTCAACACAATCAAATTCAAATAATATTGTTTCAATGAAATTTTTAAATGCATGGCAATACTAAATATAACTTGTAAACAGATACACATGTGGCATAGTTATAAAAATATAAACAGGTTGCAGACCAAATTCAGCAGTGATGCCCTCTGTAAACATAGAAAGGAGAACTATCTCTAAGGAGCATTTCAAGTATAATTTTTTTAACCCTCTTAAGAAAATACAGCAAATGCTAACATTTGTAAGGAAGACATAAGTGGTTGTTATATCGTCTGTATTTTCTGAACTATTTTGTAATTTTAAGAAATTTAACAGAACAGTAGTAGATACATTCTCATTACTACAAAAATGCAACGTTCTGAACTACCTTAAGCTTATACATATTTCTCTAATGATATACCTCCACTTAACATGGCTAAATTAGTTTACCATGCCTCACCTAAGTTCTTAAAATTTTAAAGAACATTAGTCTTATAATCTAGTCAAAATCAAGACCTGTTCAAATACAAATGTCTAAAATAATTTTAGAATTATCCTTAAAAAAAGAAAATCGTTCCTGGAGACAGACATTTCATAGATGCTTCCAGCCAAAGTAGGAAATATGGTGTAGAAATTCTAGCTTCAGGCGGAGCACAGTGACTCACACCTGTAATCCCAGCACTTTGGGAGGCCAAGGCAGAAGGACAGCTTGAGCTCAAGAGTTCTAGGCAAGCTTGGGCAACATAGCGAGACCTTGTCTCTATTTAAAAGAAAAAAATCTACCTTCAGAGAACAACTTCCATGACTTTGAAATGAAACAAGACTTCACCTACCACCCCCCAAAAAAGGGATTTTTCCGCTATAAAACTTATTTTTTTCCACTGAAGAGCATTTAATAATATTTGCTGTTACATATATATAGTACCTGTTAAATCCTTTGCTAAATCAGGATGGTTCATGAGACAATGGCTAGCAAATTTCACACATTCCAGGCGGATTGGTACATGGATATCATTAAACCTGATAAAATATAACGGCACAGAGTGATCTTTAAAATAAGAGAAATAGACATGCATTAAATCTGTTCCCAATTTATACATATTTCTATAATTAAAGAAAAAACAGCTTATGAAGGAAAATGCAAAGTAGAACCAAACCATTTTAACAAAGTTTCTGATATATCATGTATGTCTGAATGCTCTGGAACCTCTATATAAACTACGGCAATCTCCTGTGAGAACAATGTCATCTTAAGGAAACTGATCAAACCACATACATTTAGTTCAAATATAAGAATGACAAAAAGATTCCTATAAATATTATACTTTCAAATACATCTATTTATGGCAAGTGTGTATATATAGTTCATAGAAACATCATAAATCCCAAACTATGCTTGAAAGAAAATTTTCCTTCAAGTATTCCTTTTTAAATATAGGGCATTCACTAATGTATGTCAGATCTCACACCAAAACCTATACTATTTTATATTACATGACTCTAAAAGCGTACCCAAATTACTACTATCCAATTAATCATCACAATTATTACATTGCCACTAATGGCAAAGCCACTTTTTGTGCTACATATGTAAATATGTATCCCTGAAAAGTTAAAATTATTTGGCTGACATGTCACTTAAGCCTCTTTTAATATTTTATTTTCCCTCCAACTTTTTTCCTGTAATTTGCTAGAGCAACTGCTGTGTGTGTATATGCTTTTGTTCCATAATTTAGATTTTGTTAACTGTATCATTCTGATGTCAATTAACAGGCTCCTCTCTCTCCTAAATGCTGTCAATTAGTAGTTAGATATAACGACTTGATCATATTTGGGTCAATGATTTTTTTAGCCAGACTACCAAAATACCATAGATGGCAACTGTGTTCTTCTGTCAAGAAACACATGGTGTTTAGCTGTCTCTCAACCACTGATGTTCAAAGTCTGTATACAGTACTTTATCACAGAATGTAAAATAGTATTTGACAAATGTAAGTATCAACAAAATTAAATTGAAGCCAACATTTTTCCATTCAATATTTTCATATGTCTTGATTCTATGAAATCAAAAGGCTCCCAAATCTTATATCACTCAACACCTAAGAAACAAAATTTGGCAGTATAAAGGAGGGGGGAAATGTCTTCAAAATCAGCACCAAATTACTCATACAATTTAGAAAAAAGCATATGCTCTATGAAGTATATTTCCCCTTCCAAAAGTTATAAAATCTAGCCTCTTGTCCCATATAGCGTCCTGAATGTTTTGAATTCAGACACTCAATCCTATATACTTTACTGTTTCTCAGGTAAACGTGCACCTTACAACAATTAAAAATAAATACACTAAGTTGTCTTTTAAAAAACTAACTCCTTAAAGTTGGTAACATTTAATACTGTGTAAGTTTTATGTCATTAATATTAAAAGGAAAAACTACAACATAATAGAAAAATGACATATACATTTACATTAGGATTTCTCCAGCTAAAAACCAATAAAATACATACAGCCTGGCTAATCCAACTCTTAATTTAAAGATATAATAAATATATGTTAAAAGTATTTTTGTTTTAAAATTAATAAGCTTTAAATCGAGTTGCATAATTTAAACTGATATTCTTCCCTACTGTCTAAAATTTTCCATTGTATTTAAAAGAAAAAAGTTGGCTTGACTCACTAAATATAATTATTGAACTAAATAAGAATCAAGAAATCAGACTGGAGATTTGAAACATAATAAACATTAATGACAACTTATCTCTTCATTAAACAAATCAAAAAAATGAGACCAAAATATTAAATTTACTGTAATCACCGATAGTTGTTATTAAAATGTAAAGAAAGTGGTGATACCAATGCAAATATTTCAACACAAAGAAAATAAAATCAGGGTCTTTAAATCTTACGTGTTTGTTTATGACTTAACTGCATTATTTGTTATAAGGATAATTTGAGTGGGAAAATCCTTTTTCTGTCTTGAGTCGAAGGAGGTTTTAACCAAAGCACTTCTCAGGCTTTTAATATTTCCAGGTCAGGGATTTCTTTAGAAAAGGTAATAAAATGAATACCTCTCACAGAAAAGTAACATACACAAACACACTCAAAATTTTGCAACCATTTCGGGGATTTTGTGCATCATTTAAACCATGTAAGGAATCCAGGCCACCATTTCTTTTAACTGAGAAATATAGAAAAGAAGTTAGGAAGAGAAATATAAGTAGTCATTTCTTTGTTCACTCTGTGAACACTTTTATCCTGTCAATATCTCCAAATACTCTAATTAACTGTAATTAATTTGTGGAGGGGCTATGTCTCTCAAAGAGGTATTTTCAGTTGGAATTAATCACTGCTTTGAAGTAACAATATTAACTTCATGGTCATAATACCATAAGAGATAGCTTTAAAATGTATTATCTTTTAAAAATTACTAAGGATAAAGATGAAAAAGAATAATTATAAAAATACCCAGTCATTAACAACTTTCAAAAATTTCAACATATAAAACCCTTCATTCTTATGATTCCAGAAAACACAGTTAAGTGTGGATAATGTTTAAAAAAAAAAAAAAAAAGTGGTCAGTAGAATCACATATTCCTTTTAAATGGGAAACCAAAATCATATACCTGCCCAAGTAGCACTGCCAAAGTGGTTTGTTTTGAGAAGCCAATTCTGAATCTTTTGCCCCAAACATTTTTGCTAGTAGTTTAACAACTTGTAGGCGCTCCTCATTATCATTGCTCTAAAATAAAACACAATCACAGCTTTAAAACCATGCAGCAGATATTCAGAATAAGGCTGCCCATTCTTTGCCATGATTTCCCTGATACTCCAGTTCCACAGAAAATCTTTCATGAACTCTAAATTAAAAATTACATAAAAATGGTCACTATACTTTTCACAAAATTAAATGTCAACATAAATGCTCAAATCATCTCAAATTCCATTAAAGAAGTACCCTCTCAGGAAAATACATCTTTAAAGTTTGTTGCAATGTTAGAGGCCCCTCCTACAATTGAGGTATATTTCTATTCAGAGTCAAAATAAAAAATGAACTCTTATAAAACCTACCCAGGACCCTTAAAAAACTCTGTGTTGTTTTTCAGAACAGACACTGGTAGAGGCCAGGCCTACAGAAAACTGTGAGATCATACTTTTCAGTTATTTAAGAAATAAGTATGTGCTAAAGTCTCCCAGTAAGACAGCTCATCCACATAGACCAGATTTCTAAAAGGAGCTCAAGAGTAAAAGGAAGAGGCCGTAAACATGTGAAAACTAAAATGTTTTATATACTATGCTGGGGCATCCTGGGGATGAGAACTTAATTTTACTATTGATTCTGGCACTGTCAACAAATGACTCAATGGATAAGTGAATGAGCCAGCCACAATACTATACTTGAACATAAAGTGTGGCAATCAGGTATATCAAAAGGCATTAATATTCAAGGTGTTATGAATGGCACTACACAAATTGTTTTTAAATTTTAAACCAATGCCACAGCCTGCCATGCAAAGAGCCTCCACAATATGACCTAACTTGTCTCTGTTATTTCTCTTTATTCCTATAATTATTTCTCAAACCTGGCTGTACATTAGAATTACCTGAAAAGTTAAATTTAAAAAAAAATTAAAACAACAAGAACAAATCTCTATTCCCAAAAACTCTGAATCAATTAGTCTGGTTTAGTGCCTGGACAGCTATTTCTTTAAGGTTTAACAAGCAAAAATTCTAATATGCAGCCAGGAGTGACTTAAACTTACTTTACGCTATCTTCCAATTTTAATTCTTTGTGTTCCACAAATTCACCCGGAACCTTCCTACCTCTATATGCTTCTGCATGCTGTTTCCTTTGCTTCAATTGTACGCTGTTTGTATCTCTTATGACACTTATAATATCTGGCCTCATATTAGATCTGGATTTTTTTTCCTCTTCCTCTCATACTAGATGTTAAGTTTGCTGAAAGCAGGGATAATTTCCTTATTTTTATATTTCTCATAGTGTGTAGGAACATGCATAGCATTTAGTCAATTACACTTGAGAAAATCATATAAACCAACAAATAATTAGACGTGTGACTAGCTGCTGCCTCACCCAAATCACTGATCACATTAAAAGGGGACAGGAAGAATGGCTTCCTGTTAATTGAATGGCTTATTTGAGAAATATACCAGAAACATACTCCAGAATATAGGAAGGATACTTATTTACTGGCTACTTGGGATATTCACATTACCAATGTGGACTGTTCATTTTTGAAAGAAAATCAAAACTTTTAGAAACAAGAAATATAATACAGAAATGGCCGGGCGCGGTGGCTCAAGCCTGTAATCCCAGCACTTTGGGAGGCCGAGGCGGGTGGATCACAAGGTCAAGAGATCGAGACCATCCTGGTCAACAAGGTGAAACCCTGTCTCTACTAAAAATACAAAAAATTAGCTGGGCATGGTGGCGCGTGCCTGTAATCCCAGCTACTCAGGAGGCTGAGGCAGGAGAATTGCCTGAACCCAGGAGACGGAGGTTGCGGTGAGCCGAGATCGCGCCATTGCACTCCAGCCTGGGTAACAAGAGCGAAACTCCATCTCAAAAAAAAAAAAAAAAAAAAAATATATTTTTTTATGTATATAATACAGAAATCATTTAAGAACTTCTCTGGGTCCACAAAGATTAATAATTATAACCAGGTTTATTTAATCTTATTGTAATGATTTGAAAAGAAAACTAGATTCTCCAATTCTGCAAATAAAGCTCAATTTTACAGCATAATTTAATGTCAAAGCAGTAGGAACATTCTACCAAAAAATTTCACTGGGTCATGCATGGTGGTTTATACCTGTAAACCAACACTTTGGGAGGCCGAGGCAGGTGGATCACCTGCGGTTAGGAGTTTGACACCAGCCTGGCCAACATGGTGAGATCCTGTGTCTACCAAAAAATACAAAAATTAGCTGGGGTGGTGCCGCATGCCTGTAGTCCCAGCTACTTGGGAGGCTGAGGTGGAAGAATCGCTTGATTCCAAGAGGCGCAGACTGCAGTGAGTCAAGATCACACCACTGCACTCCAGCCTGGGCAACAGAGTGAGACCCTGTCTCAAAAAAACCAAAAAACAAAAAATTCACAGAACTATGTAAAAAGCAAACAAGCCTTCAACAGAGGCATCTATGAAATAATATGCATAAAGGGAAAGCATTTCACGCTATGTGGATAACGAACTCTAAACTATTTTTATGGCCTAAGTGGTCAAGGGAACTACTATAAATTGTGCCTTGAAAACATAAGCTTGATATATAGCTAAAACCTCAAAAGTTAGTCAAATCCTAGAATTTACCTGGAAAATATCTGGAGGAAAATACCATCTTGCTAATCTTTATTAAGCAGCTCACTATCTACTAGCCACCTGCCAGGCATTGGAGATTCACAGACAGACAAGGTACAAATATGTGAAGAAATAATAGTAACATATCCCTTCACCTCTTACATTCAGTGAAAACTACTATAAGAATTAAAAAGCTATAAATAATGCTCTTTGCTAACTTGGTTGGCAGAATCATATTACTTCTACAAGTTACCTTTAATTTAAATTCAAGCTGGGGTAAAACAGAAAGCAGCAAATGACTATCAATATTGTAGAGCTCCAAAATTAAGTCAAAGACATGCTCTGACAAATCGCTGATAGATGTTTTCCCAAGCATCAGAACCTGATTAAAAAACTTTTGAGGAGAAAGAAAAGTTATTATTAGTAGAAAAACCAGAGACAAGATGAATGTTTTAAAATCTTATTCAACCAAATTCATCATTATTTTATACAAAGTCAAACTAGGCATATCAAAATATTTTCTAACATTACAGGAGAAACCAATACAGGCTACATGAAAAGATAAAACATGGAATCCATCTTGTATACAATAAAACAGATAGGAACATTTCAATAAACATACTACATTCCAAATATACTCTGTTCCCCATTATGATACTGACTATATTTATCCTATATTATTATCTGTGTATATTTCTGGATAGTTAATTTTATGTGTCAACTTGACTTAATTAAAGGATACCTAGAGAGCTGGTAAAGCATTGTTTCTGGGTGTTTCTGCAATGGTGCTTGCAGAGATTGGCTTGTAGACTGAGTGGGAAAGATCTGCCCAGGTATCATCCAAATAGGCTGGAAGGCCCAACAGAACAAAAAGGCAAAGGAAAGTGAATTCATTCTCTTCAGGATTGGGACATTCATCTCCTACTCTTGGACAGCAGAACTCCAGGTTCTCCGGCCTTTGGACTCCAGGAATTGCACCACGGGCCTGGTCCCCTGCTGAGTTCTCAAGCCTTGCCTTCTGCCTCTGAGAGTAACACCACTGGCTTCCCTGGTTCTCCAGCTTGCAGACAGCCTGCTCTTGGACTTCTCAGACTTTATAATCTTTTAAGTAAATTCCTCTAATAAATTCCCTCTCATACATACATATGTGTCTGTGTGTGTGTGTATACATACACTCACTGTGTGTGAATATACACACACATATATGTATATGTGTATCTATATATACATAAACTCACTCACTGTTGGCTTTTACTCTAGAAAACACTGACTAATACAATGTCTTAATCTCCCCAAGGGTGAGGGATAATAGCTTGTTTGCCTTAGTACATATGGGAAACAATATTATCCCATAGATACAGTCTTCTTACATTTTCATAGAAGGCAATTCTGTGTTTGAAATATGTAATTTTTTAATGAAAAACTACCTCTTTCCAATCCTTTGTCTTCTTTTACATTCCAATGTGTACATATCTACACAGTTTACAACACTAATTAAAATCCAATTAGAAGAACACACAAACACAAAGAAAATCCAAATTTAAACAATTTTTTCCCTACCATATAGCTAGCTCTGACTCGTTTCCATACTCAGACCATTTATCATATTATTACTAAAATGGTGAAGATGCATAGCCTGTCAAGCTTCTATTTAAAATCTTCCAAAAATGTTAAAAATTAACCAAAAGCATACCCCATGTATCCTCAATAGTTTCCTGAGTCTCAATGGAGGAGGAGTCAAGAATTGTTTTATACCATACAAGCTGGCCTAATCTCTTGAGACAGTTAACACACAACTGGATAATTAGGCTTTAGCTTTCTACATTGAAAATACAGTGGAAGATTTCACATTTCTATGTCTCTTCTGCTTACTTTTACTTCTTGGGTTGTTTTTATGTAAAGTTTTTTAGGTCTATGAACAGAACAGACTACCTAGCCATGAAGAAAGAAGAACAAATTCTATTTTGCTATTCGTTCTTTATTGGTTTTAAAAAGAACTTATTTGTCCTTCCCATTTATCAATTTTAAGTGAAGAGAATTTCATGATATCAAAGGTTAAATTCTTACTGAGGTTCAAAATAAAGTGGCTTTTTTGCTTCCATTCACAAATTTTCTCCTGCTTAAAAAATAGTAAAATAAATAATTCCCAAACTACTTTTCCTTAACAAAGAACAACAATCCCTTCCAATCTCACCACCGTAGTGGTCAAACCATCGCCTTCTTCTAACAGTATGGGAAAAACTTATTTGAAAAATTAAGGAAAAAAACATTCCTTGGTTTAATTTCTCACAAATTCCATAAAAACATGTATTGAACACTTTTATAATCTCCAAAAAGGCAATAACCAAGTTGGTCTTCTCCAATGTGTAAAGCCTACCTACCACAGTGCCGGACACAGAGCAGGTATAGTATTATGTTTGGTAAATGAACAAAAAATATGCAAAAGACGGTAGGATACAAATATGGGTAAAATAATCCAACCCCTTCATAAGGGCTGAAAATTTAGTGGAGGCAGATTTAGATTTGACTAGAATATTTCCTTCCAAAAATTCTTTCATTTACAAATGGGTAACTAATTACATACTACAAATTAATTTTTTGGTACAGCAACTGCCTCCTAATGAAAGATGTCACCAGTCAGTAATAAATTCTACCTTAAATTTACATGGCTAATTTTAATTACAAAGTGCTTTCACATTAAGTAACACATTCTCTACCACCACCCAAGCATTACAAGTGAAAAAACAAAGGTTCAGTGGAATTAAGCAATTTAACTAAATTTTACCTATTCCAACAAGGATTTGATGTACTTTTTCAGTTCAACAAAATAATTTTTTGCCATATCCTAAAATTTGTGATAAAAAAGAACTGGTGAAAAAATATCATTAAAAAGTGATCCGTAAGGAAATTTTTAGAATTATCACTATGTACTTTTTGTTCTTGATGCTCCATTTTACCTTTAAAACAAATATGTATATATGTACTATTTAGCTTCCTGGGTTGTTGTGTTACAACAAATTTAAACAAATTTTTAAAAATAACCTAGGTTAGGCATGGGCTCACGACTACAATCCTAGTACTTTGAGAGGCCAAGGCAATTGCTTGAGCTCAGGAGTTCAAAAACAGCCTGGACAACATGGTAAAACCCTGACTCTATAAACAAATTTTTAAAATGGAAAAATTTGCCAATGTTGGCTCACTCCTGTGGTCCCAGCTACTCAGCGGGCTGAGGTGGGAGGATTGCTTGAGCCTCGGAGGCTCAGCTGCCATGTGCCAAGATCACACCACTGAACTCCAGCCTGGGTAACAGAGCAAGACTCTTGTCTCCAAAAAAAAAAAAAAGGAGAGAGAGAGAAAACATAATGCATAAATAAAATAACCTATACCACCACAGTGATTTCTTGAGTCTTTATATGTAAGAAACACTATTTAAAAAAAAAAAAAAAGAATGTATCTGTATGTGTGAAGGAAAAAGAAACACAGAAAAGAGAGAGAAGTGGGGTTATTATCTCAGTATCTTACACCTATTTTTACTTGCTGATTCTCAACTAGGAAGGTAAGTAAATAGTGGCTGTTTCAAATGTAAGTCCAAAAGGGCTAAGAATGATTTCTAACACTGAACTAATTTTACCCCACTACAAGACAGTTAAGTTCACTAGAAAGTGATTTTACATGCAATTACAAAGGTTTGAAATGGAAAAATAAGTAAAAATAAAGAAATTAAAGGGAGGAAAAAAGCAATTCATATTTCTTAACTTAAAAATAAGGCACAGAACAAGAAAACAGGAAGAAATAAGAAAATAATTGGACAACGCACAGTGAGAAAAGTATGTAACGGCTCTGAATATGTGCTCAGAACACTCTGCTTGGATCCTGCTCCACAGCTTTTGATATAGAGATAATATGAAAGTTTAGGGGAGTTCAGGGGGGAAGGATTCTATTTGTGCAAGCGAGAATAACATGAAATTAACACAAGGTATAAATAATAAAGAAATGTTTTTTACCCTGATGTATTCTGGGACTGTTAAAAATATTTCCTCAGCCTTTTTTTTCTTTAACTTCCAGTATAAATATTTTCAAACATACAACATTTGAGATACTAGTATAACAAACCTAATCAACTAACTCTAACAAGTAACATCATTTATTGTGGGTTTTTTCCTTTAATTGCCCCAATCTAATATTGATTTTCCCCAATCACAGGAGATATCAATATGGCATGGTGTTCTTTTTTTATGCCAGAAAAAGAAATCAAAATAAGGTAAGTGTTCCCCTAAAAAAAAAAAAAAAAAAAAAAAAAACTAGCTTGGCAATATGAGCTAAAATAAATGGCCACCAGGAGGAGCTCACCTAGTGTGCTCTAATGGGCCACGGAAATAGTCATTTAGAAGTACTTGAAGCAAGGGAAAAGAGTAATTACAGAATGTTTAAGTCTAGGTCTACACATTTCAAGTGCCACTAAGCCCATCATGAAAAAACTCAACCTAACCAATTTATCTCAGCCAATACTCATAACTTACAAAACTGCAAAAACCAACATTTGGAGTTCCCTGACAATCTTGGAGCTATTAAGTTAGATTACAGGATTTGATTTCACATCTTCTGAAAGTTTACTCTTCAAAACAATTTTCTTACAAATTAAATTAATTTTTTCAAGTCATCGTATGTTTAGGATTCTCTAAGGCTATAAGCCAGAAACAAAAGCTGGGATTTATTAAGGTACTGTTTTATGAAGTATGTTAGTTTTCAAAGTACATCATTTCATGATATATTTCATATACTGACTTTAAATCTGTGTATACTACAAGAAAAACTCTCCCTCAATAAATTTTAGTAGAATGCATAAGTAATCATTAAAGGCTTTCTTTCTTACTTTACTCAGAAACGCAAATGTATATCCTTTACTTGTCTGGAGGTGAGTGAAACTGAAAAGCACGTGGAGGGACTGAACTGTTACACAATTCAAGGGCCACCATTAACACTGTATTCTACATCTGTATTCCAGGAGGCATCATTCACATAGAATACAATACGAATAGTGCCACCTAAAGCTGTACAATTCAAAAGAACTGTGGAGAGAAAACAAAACTTACCATAAGCTTCTGTCAGTGAACCTAGCAGCTAAAGAAGATGGTGAATCATAAATAAGTAGATTTGGGGTGATACTGAAAGGGCTCATTTCATTACAATTCTTCCTCTTTTTCAGAAAAGATAGATTTATATGGAATGTACCCCAGTAATAGCAATAGATAAGCAACTTTACTAAATCACTACTGCTATTCATACTTGCCTTCAACTTCTAGGTCTTAATATTATTTCATATCTTCTTCTTGTACAAATCAATTTAATCTCCAAAAACCTGTAAGCAACGTCTCTGAATAATGAAAAGTTCCACACGTTTTATCTGATTACATTTAACTCTATTTCTATCAGTAGAAACAAAGAGAGTATCTTGCTGACCAACAAAAAAGCTGTTTAAATTTTCAGGCAATTTGAAAGAAGATAATGAACAAATAGGATAAGAGCAAGCCTTCCAGAAAATATTAGCAAGAATAATTTTAAGAAGGAGAAGGAAAACACATTACTTAAAGGTTAAAACAAATTTCTTGTTTTTAAAACTATATACTACCCAATGAAATTTAGCAAGTCTTTAAATTTTCGGTTTAATCCTTCTGACAACCAATTACAAATAAGACTTACATTGGTAATATATGGCTCAATAGCTTGAGCGGTCCTCTTCAGTAAAGCCTTTGCCAAATCATATGCTTGTTTGTTTAAATTCTGAAAAACATAAATAATATCTATATTATATATCTCTTAACTATGAAAAGCAAAATACTACCTGTATTCAAAATGCTACTCTTGAGTAAATGAAACTAAGATTCAATTAGAATAAAAGAAGACAAAGCCATTTTTCTTTTTTTGGGACTAACTGGTCTACTAGATCTAAGATTCCTTCCGTGTAAGGATAGTTATATTCTTTTCCTATTTTGTTCATAACATAATGTAAACCACATAGAAATGGTCAATAAGTGCTTATTAGATAGAGGAGGAGATACTTAAGTCATTCTAAATCTAGTACCAAAATCAAATCTGTTAAGTACAAATACAGTCTGTTCTACTTCAGGTCCAAAAAAAGCAAAACATACTAAGAGAATGAACTATGTTCTAGTGTGGACAGCAATGGGGATCCCATAGGTGAGGAAGGACAAAGGATTTTGGGGCAGCTGTGGGAAAGCAGATTACTCAAACACATTTCAGAGCACAGGTAAGTCGAAGGATACAACGGAAGTACAATAAATAGTAAAGTATGAAGGGAAGATAACAAGAAAAAATATCATAAGAAAATATGTTTCTAAGAGACTCTGATAATGATACAAGGAAGTAAAGATCAAAAATGGAGTCACTACTCCAGTTTAAACATATTCCAGAGAACAGGAATACTGTATATATCTTTAAACTCATACTCTTTACACAGCATATTTTTAGATTTACCTACCTTGATGCTTGTACTTTATTATTTCGTCCATACTAACTGCTGTTTAGATATGATATACTAAAGATTCTTTACTGATTCTCCTACTCATAGACATTAAATTATATGTCCTGTACAAGTCTCTTTGTGTATATGAGAAGTAATTTTCTGTAAATTCTCTTTGCCATTTTTCAATTATGCTATTTAGTCTTACTTTATTTTTAGATTTTCTCCAAAAAGTCTATGGACTAAGCTTGTGTCAATTATAGATGTTCCTTGACTTATGGTGAAGCTACATCTCAATAAACCCAAAGTAAGTAACCCAAAATGCATTTAATACCCCAATAAATCCATCATAAAGTAAGTCAAACCATTACGTCAGAAACTGTCTGTACATGTATAATATACCTTAGTCTATATTTCTCTTTTCACAATGTTTATAATGTCTTAAAGTACAGTGACATTTTTCATTTTTTTAATTGATATATAACAACTGTGCATATTTTAGGGGAACATGTGATATTCTGATACACGTATACATTAAATAATAATCAAATCAAGGTACATAAAATATCCATCACCTCAAATATTTATGTTTTCTTTGTGCTGGGACCATTACAAATCTTCTCTTTTAGCTATTTTGAAATATAAATTATTGTTAACTATAATGTCCCTATCATACTATCAAATACTAGAAGGAGGCTGGGCGCCGTGGCTCACACCTGTAATCCCAGCACTTTGGAAGGCAGAGACGGGTGGATCACCTGAGGTCAGGAGTTCTAGACCAAGACTGGTCAACATGGCGAAACCCTGTTTCCACTAAAAAATAAAAAAATTTAGGCAGGCGTGGTGGCAGATGCCTGTAATCCCAGCTATTTGGGAGGCTGAGACAGGAGAACTGCTTGAACCTGGGAGGCGGAGGTTGCACTGAGCTGAGATCGCACCACTGCACTCCAACCTGGGTGACACAGCGAGACTCCATCTCAAAAAAAAAAAACCAAAAAACAAAATACTAGAAAGAACTATTCCTTCTATCTAACTTTATTTTTTTAAACCTTAACTTCTCTTCATTCTTCCCCACCCCAGTTCCTTTCCCAGCCTCTGGTAACCACCATTCTATTCTCTACTTCCATGAGACCTGTTGCTTTTTTTTTTTAAGTCCCATATGAGTGAAAACATATTTGTCTTCCTGTTCTCAGTTTATTTCACTTTACATAATAACCCCCAGCAGTTCCATCCCTGTTGCTTCAAATGTTAAGATTTAATCTTTTTTTTGGTGCCTGGAATAATGTTCATGTGTGTGTGTGTATATACACCACATTTTCTTTAATACTTATCCATTGATAGACACAGGTCAATTCCATATACTGGCTACCACAAATAGTTTTTATTTTTAATATAATCAAATTTATCAATCTGTTCTTATACGGCTTTGTTCTCTATATCTTTCTTAAGAAATTCATTCCTATCTTGAGGTTATAAAGATGTATTTTCAAAGAAAATTTTAAAAATTTACTTTTCGCATTTAGATCTTTCTCAACCTGTAATTTATTCTTACGTATGTTCTGAAATAAGTATCTAATTTTTATTATTTTCCATATAAGTCATAAACTGTCCTAAAACCATTCATTAATTTCTTATTCCCCCTTTTATAACTTGTAATACCCACTCTGTCAGCTTCTACATAAGGATGCTTCCATTCAGCAATTCTCCATTATTTCCATATGCCCCTTTGTCTATCACTGACCAATTATTGTCAGAGGGACACATGAAAATAATGTCAAAAGTAGGAGATCCCTGCTTTCTTATTCTTCTTCAAAACTGTTTGGCTATTACTGGTCATTTGCTCTTTCATGTGAATTTTAGATTCAGCTTGTCAAATTACACACAAGTGCACACGCTATCGGTTTCTTTCTTTTTTCTTTAGTCTCACTTGGTCACCCAGGCTGGAGTACAGTGGTGCGATCACCGCTCACTGCAGCCTTGACCTCCATGGTGCAAGCAAGCCTCCTATCTCACCCTCAAGTAGCTCGGACTATAGGCATGCACAAGCATGCCCAGCTAATTTTTGTAGAGACAGGGTTTTGCCATTTTGCTCAGGCTGGTCTCAAACTCCTGAGCTCAAGCAATTCTCCTGCCTCAAGTTCCCAAAGTGCTGGGATAATAGGAGAGAGCCACTGCGCCAGGCCTCAGTTTTTATTTTTGATTGAATTATTGATCAGTATGCAGAAGATTGACATCATTATCATACCAAGTCTCCCATAAACAGTAAATCTCTCAACATATGTTAAGTCTTCTATTATGCTTTTCAGCCAACTATAATAATTTTCAACATAAAGGTGATACACATTATGGTTAAACTTCTAAGTACCTTACATCTTCATTAAAGCTACAAATGAAAATTTTTGCAATCAGGCTACCAGGTTTTTATATCGTGTTATGTCTTGTAACATTCTAGAATGTTCTTTTATTTTCTATAAATTTATCTGTCTACCATTTTGTGTTTTCTGCACAGGCAATCATATTTTGGCTTAGTTTCTTCTTTCTAATCCTTTTATATTACATTTGTCTTGTCCTATTCCACTAATGTAACACACCTACTACAATGCTAATTTTAAAAAGCACGCTTAAGATATGGAACCAATCTAACTGCCTACTGACTGATGAGTGGATAAAGAAAATGTGGTTTTCCACGGTGATGGAATACTACTCAGCCATAAAAAAAGAATGAAATAATGTCTTTTGCAGCAACTTGGATGGAGCTGGAGGCCATTATTCTAAGTGAAGTAACTCAGGAATAGGAAACGCCATCCTGTATGATCTCATGGGAGCTAAGCTACAGATACACAAAGGCACACAGAGTGATATAATGGACTATGGGGACTCAGAAGGCAGAGAGGGAACAAGAGATTAAAAAAATTACAGATTGGGCACAGCGTACATTTCTCAGGTGACAGGGATACTAAAAGCTCAGATTTCATATAATTATATAATTAATTATAAACCATATAATTAATCCATGAAACCAAAACCACCTGTACCCCAGAAGCTACTGAAATTTAAAAATATACATTTAAATATAATATAAAAATTTTTTAAAGCATGTTTGCCTTTTCACCTGAGTAGAAGCAGTATTTTTAGTGTTCCTCACATCAAAGAGAATGCTTCAACATTTTACCATTAAATACTGCATCATACATATCTCCTTATTAGTTTAAGTTCTATTTCAAATGTCCTAAGTTATCATACATTATAATTAATTGTATCATCTTTTTCTCTATTAAAATTTTTCTCTTTGATCTATTAATTTAAACAAATTAATCTTAGTCTATCACTAACATTTTTAATGTTAATCCATCCTTGTATTCCTAAAATAAAGCCAATTTGGTGATTATCAACAGTACTTTATATCATTCTGGAAATTACTATTTTATACTGGAAATCAATTAGCCTATTTTTTTTTCCCTTGCTTGGTTTTTTCCTTGCATCTGGTTTCCTTAGGAAGATTATTCTCTGCTCATTAGAGTTATGGAGTAGTCCTTTCTATAATTTGGAAATGTGCTGAAGATTAGGAATATTTGCCACTTAAATGATCAATAGAAATCTCCTGGTAACGGATTCATAAGTTCTTTTGTTGTTGGTTTGAGTTCTGCTGCTATCATTACTGCTGCTGTTATCATTGCTATTACTGTTTGAAGAGTTTTGTTTTATAGGTAGAGTTTTTAAAACCAATTAAATGTATTGTTTATAAACTATTTGTCCCAATTTTCTCTCAAGACAAATTTGATAGGCTATATTTTCTAGGAATTTATTCTAATTTCAAATATTTTAGCATAAAATATTGCTCATGGAATTGTCTTTTGATCTTTTCCATGTCTACTGTTCCTCATTTCATTCTAAAACTGCACATAAATACCATTTCCCTTTTTGTGATCTAACTTTCCAGTCATTTGCTTATTTAACACATTTTTCAAATTACTAACTTTGGGTTTTGGGGGAATGTCACTGTGTTTTCTATTTCACTAATCTCATTTCTTCACTATTTTCTTCCTTGCATAATTTGTTTATTCTGATAATGTTTTTATTACCCCTTGACATGGACATTTAGCCATAAAGTTACACTTAAACTGTATCCTGCAAGTTTTAATATGTTTCACTTATTTCTAAATATTTTAATTGCCATTATGACTTAATGTTTTGTCAGATTATATGCTTGTTATTAAATTAGTAGTTTTGTATTTGAAATCCTCAATATTTTTATAAACTCAATTTACCTCATTTATAATCACTAAAACACATGTTAAAATGGAACACGAATAGTGAATTCGCTTCTGTTAGTTATGCTTGCCATTAAATTAGTTTTGTTTCAAATTCTCAATATTTTTATAAACTCAGTTTACCTGCTTTATAAGCACTAAAACACATTAAAATGGAACACAAAAGGTGAATTTGCTTCTTTCTGTCCATAGTTCTTTCAATTTGTGTTTTATACATTTTGAGCCTATGTGCATACAAGATATTAGATATCTTCCTGAGTACTGAATCTTTTCTTATTATATAAAGCTCTTCTTTATCCATTAAAGACTACTATGTCTAATATAAGCTATCTAGATTTTCTTTTCATTTATATTTGCCTGGCAAGTCTTTTTCCATCCTTTTTTTTTTTTTTTTGAGACAGAGTTTCGCTCTTGTTATCCAGGCTGGAGTGCAATGGCGCGAACTCGGCTCACTGCAACCTCCGCCTCCTGGGCTCAGGCAATTCTCCTGCCTCAGCCTCCTGAGTAGCTGGGATTACAGTCACGTGCCACCATGCCCAGCTAATTTTTTGTAGTTTTTTAGTAGAGACGGGGTTTCACCATGTTGACCAGGATGGTCTCGATCTCTTGACCTCGTGATCCACCCGCCTCGGCCTCCCAAAGTGCTGGGATTACAGGCTTGAGCCACTGTGCCCGGCTTTCTATCCTTTTATATTCAACCTTTCGTGAATGTGTTCTAGTTGTATTTCTTAGTAACAATAACCACCCAGATTATGTTCAATCCAATCTGAGAATCTGTCTTACATGGTAAATTTAGACCATTTACATTTACTGTAACTCTTCCTTTTTTAAAAAATCCTTAAAATTTTAACATAAATGGTTCATTTAAAGTTCAAAGTTAATCAAGAGCTCCAAATACTCCTGATCATCCCAAGATCATATCACTTATTAATTCCATTAAACCACTCTATCTTACATAAAATTACATTTATTCTCTAGCACTGAAATTGAGAGGTCAGCAATCAGTTTAGCCTTCATTCTATGATAAGTGCCATGCTTTTATATTCTGGGTGCTTTATACATGATTTCTCATTCAGTATTCCGCAATTTCAGGATGGACCTGGACAGGGATTTCCTTTTTATTTTTTTTCACTCTAGTCATGGTACTTTTTCTCACTAATCCATAAATTAACGACTTTAACCAATTCTGAAATATTTTAAGCTAACTTCTACTTGAATATCATCTCTTCTCAATTCTCTATTTGTTGTTCTGAAATTACTATTAAATATGTCAGACCTTATCTTTCATCTCACTGTGTCTGTATAATTTCCTGACATCTATTCCAGTTCTCTAAATATCTTTTACATATAATTCAATCAAGATTTCTATTTTGATAGCCATTGTTCTTTTCTTCTTTTTTTTTTTTTTTTTGGAAACAGAGTCTCACTCTGTCATGCAGGCTTGGGTGCAATAGTGCAATCTCGGCTCACTGCAACCTCTTCCTCCCAGGTTCAAGCGATTCTCCTGCCTCAGCCTCCTGAAGAGCTGGGATCACAAGTGCAGGTTGCCACACCTGGCTAGCCATTGTATTTTTAGTGGAGAAGGGGTTTCACCACGTTGGCCAGGTTGGTCTTGAACCCATGGCCTCAGGTGATCCACCCAACTTGGCTTCCCAAAGTGCTGGGATTACAGGTGTGAGCCACCGCACCCAGCCATTTTTCATTCCTAATGAGTTTTTCTCCTAATTTTCTCTTTTCATATGTCTAGTTTTTATGTTTTTTAACTCAAACATTTTATCATCAATCCTTTCAAGAGTGTTTATGATTTTCTTTAAAAAACTTTGTCAGAATGTTTTATTCAGTGTCATTCACTAAACTACAAGGAGCTAAAGTTATGCAAAGGACTGCAAAATAGTAATTGCCTTGAGAAATTTCCACCGTAAGCTAAATGGACTAAGCAAAAGATTGAATCTGTAAGTAGTTGGTGGAAAGATTCCATCTCCTATACTTAGAGATAGGAAGTTTAGTAGATCCTATGATTCTAGTTTCTGGAAGTACCTACAAGTCCTCTTCCTATAACAAGGCCAAGTAGAAATGTGCATTCAGGAAGGGAGAGTTTATTTTCCCCAACAAAGTCTTTTCCATGACAATTGATGGACGGAGACCTCAGATGCCTCTGGTAGGCAGCTGCTGAGTGCAGAAAGCCAAGATAGATACTTGATTTGTGTCTAGGAGAGTTTATCTTGGCACAGTTGACAGGTGGGTGAGGTTCCAGAGAACTAGAAGTCCAGTCAAGCTCCGCCTATTTGAAAGGCTTAGCAGGTCTTCTCCTGGGAATTCAGCCTTCCTCCCTACAGCATTTTGTGGCTGGGTTCATTATCTCTGCCTTCTCACCTGAGCACACAAACAGTAGAGCTTGTGGCATCAGGCCAGGTGTTCATTTGCCCAGAGGAAGTCAGTAGCTGGGCCCCACGCTGATTTTTACAGCTCACTTAATAAAATAGATTAATGGCAATTGTAACTAGATGTGGGCATCAAGGTGAAGGAGACAATGGGACAAGCCTCTGCAAGCCTACTTGTCAGCTTCCCCCCTCCCTCTTGCAGTTACCAGAGGCAGAAGTGAGGCTGGTCTCGTAGAGTCAGGACATGGTGAGCTGCATTCAGAAAGTGCAGCTGGAAGGAGGGAAGGGTGGGAAGAGGAGCAAGATGGCAGCTGACTAGGAACCCCCAGCACACCAGAACCTGTGGATTTTATTTAATAAATATATTATCTGAATTTCTGAGTTCTAATCTTGCTATTTGTTGTGTGTGCTAAGGATTTAGAGACTATTTTCTTTAAGAGTATGGAATTTTTTAATTATGAGATCATTTTCAATGAAGCATTATTTGTGACAATGCTGTATAGCTCCACACTGAGACTGTGTCTTGCCAGAGAGGTCTTATATTTGCACAGATAATTACACTGGTGATTCCTGTGCTCCTCTCCTTAACCCAAACCACTTCCAAATTACAGAACCATATTTCTAACTGGAGAGTGAGTCATTTTCAAAAGTCAAAACAAACGCACGCGCGCGCGCACACACACACACACACACACACACACACACACACGGCATCCTGATTAACATCACACAGGCAAGAGACAATGTCACCAACATATCACTTCTCTCCCATTTAGTAGAGACTTTAAATTTACCAGTCCTCTCTATTACATTACCACTGTCTTTTAGTTATGGCCCTACTTGGTTCCATCTTCTGACAGATAAGTTATGTAACAGCATCTAAGTAGCTACTAATTCATTCCCTGAAATACACTCTATGTAAAACTGAATTATCACAAATGTTATTACATGAACTAAATCGACGATTTATTAGTGACTAATAAGTGTATCTTTTTATTACACATTAAACACAATAATATGTATTAATATAACTAAACCAACAGGACCTCTAAAACTAAGGTTAAAGCAGGATAAACCATATTTAGAACCTTAGCACAAATTTTAAGTCTTAATATTAATGGGCATTAGACACATTATATATTGTTACTCACCTTATGAGCAGGTACCAGATTTACTAAAACTGTATCCAAAAGCTCCTGAGACACTGTATCACCTTCACAAATAATAGAGCTCATAAGGTCTACCATGTGCATATGAACTTTCTGATTGTGGCCATTGCTGTAATTCAAAGCAGATTTTGTTTCAATTATGACTGAGATATAAGAATTTACTCATAAGATGATACTAACAAGCATTAAACTTTACAAAAATAATACTGCAATATTAAATAGAATTCTATGTAAATTCATTTAAAGCTTCCCTCTCCCACAGCATACGATAGTCTAAAAATTATATTTTTACACTACATTTCTTAGATTTTTCCCTAATTTTCACCTGTCTCACAATCAAAAGTGATTACATCAAAAGCAACTTCAGTTCTGCCTTAAATTCAGAAAACAGAATTGCTTTGAAATTAATTCTAGTAAATAATTTCAAAGAATACACAAAAAGCTCAAATAGCCACATGCATTAAGAAGTCAATACGCATTTTCAATAGACAAATAATGCAATCCAAAAGAATTTTATATTGGCCTTATGCCACTCCTCTAACCAGTAATTCCATATAATACAAACTTAAGCTCTATTCATTTTTGAAACATCTATAAAAATAAATTTAAATGTGTTAAAAGTTACATCTCTTCTAATATTCATCATATCCTTCTAATATTCATCTTAACAGTTTATGCAGGTCCACCTGCAGGTTCAAAATTTGTTATCTTTACATTTTTTTAAATGTTATACACTTAATAAAATAAACTTACTTTATAACTGAAAATAAGGTTCTGTATAGTTGAGTAAAAATTTCATTGCTATCTTCTAACTCAAAGCATATGTTATATGACTTCACCCAAGCAATGTTCTAAAAATAAGAGGTAAAAAAAAAAAAAGTGAAAGGTAAACATTCTGATTAGTAAAAATATACAAACACAAAAAATCAGTTTAAAATGTCACCTCAAGGTACAAGATATTGCTTACCTCAAGTAAATAAAAATACCTATTGAATTGTGGGCTCTTTGTATCCTCTAGCCCCTTCAACTGTCTTGTTATAAACATAAATATATCCTTAAAAAAAAAAAAGACAAAGTGCCATTTAGGTTATGAACACTAAATGAAAATATCCATGAAACTCCTAGATTTTATTCAGGACTCGTGTACATATCAAAATAAACTATAACGAATCAGAAAAAAAAATTTATTTGGCTAAAAATTTTTTTAAGTACATCTTTATATGAACAACATTAAATATCTTACTATCCTTCATAGAAAAACATAAATCATTTACCATAATCTTAAAGTCAAAAAAATTCATCTTATAGCAAAAGTTAAACAAATAGACCTAAAAACCAAGCCAGCTAAGATTTATGCTATTTTTAGAATAAAAAATGTTGCAGTGACTGAGAGCTGATCAGGTTTCCTGGAACAGCAAAATACATGGTAATTACATAGCAAGAGTGGTTTAGGAAACAAATTTTTTTTTTAATTGCCAAATGACAATACAATAGGTACCACAAAGAAGCTTATACTCTTAGAAGTCAACTTGTCAAGCTTCCTACTAGTCATTGTAATTACTTGCTTTTCCCCACCTTCCTAAATCTATTCCCATCTCATGTTTTTGATTTATTACTGTATCTGCATTTGTACCTGGGTAAAGACAACACTCAATGTCACTCTGAGTCAAGATTTTGTGGAAATAAGTTTCAAGAGAAATGTAGATGATATTCTCAAAAAGTTTAAAAAAACTTTTTAAAGCTAATTCTGCAAAGGAAGCATGCCAACAATAAGAGAAAAAAATAAAAACATTTCCCTAGAAGTAAAATAATAAGCATATGTTAAATGAAAAAAATTAATATGCAAATAACTGAACAGCTTTTAAGAAAAGTCCTATCAAAAGGACACCCTTCAAAAATGGTTACTTAAGAAAGAACAAACTGAACTTACAGAGCTGAAAAACTCACTTCAAGAATTTAATAACATAATCACAAGTATTAACAGCAGAATCAGCCAAGCTGAGGAAAGAATCCAACAGCTCAAAGTCTGGTTCTCTAAAATAATTCAGTCAGACAAAAATAAAGAGAAAATAATAAATAAGAATGAACAAAACCTTCAAGAAATATGAAACTATGTGAAGAGACCAAATCTACAACTCATTGGCATCCCTAAAAGAAAGAAAGAAAAAACAAGCAACTTAGAAAACATATTTGAGGATATAGTTTACAAAAATTTCCCAAACCTCACTAGAGAGGTCAACATTCAAATCTGGGGAATACAGAGAACTCTTGCAAGACACTATACAAGATGACCATCCCCGAGACGCATAGTCATCAGATTCTCCAAAGTCAAAATGAAAGAAAAAATGCTAAAGACAGCAAGAGAGAAAGGGCAGGTCACCTACAATGGAACCCTATCAGGCTAACGGAAGACCTTTCAGTAGAAACACTATAAGCCAAAAGAGACTGGGGACCTATATTCAGTATTCTTAAAGAAATTCAACCAAGAATTTCAAATCCAGCCAAACTAAGCTTTGTAAGTGAAGAAGAAATTATTCTTTTTAGACAAGCAAATGCTAAGGGAATTTGTTACCACCAGACTTCCCTTACAAGAGGTCCTTAAGTGCAAATATGGAAAGAAAAGACTGTTACTACACATCACAAAAAGACTACTTAAGTACACAGACCACTCACACTATAAAGCAATCACACAATCAAGTCTGCATAATACCCAGCTAACAACATGATGACAGAACCAAATCAGCACATACCAATATTAACCTTGAATGTAAGCATGCTAAATGCCTCAATTAAGGCACAGTGTGGTCAGTTGGTTAAAGAAGCAAAGCCCAACTGCATGCTGTCTACAAGAGACTCATTTCATATGCAATGATGCTGATAGGATCAAAGTAAATGGATAGAGAAAAATCTACCAAGCAAATGGAAAACAGAAAAAAGCAAGGGCTGCCATTCTAATTTCAGACAAAACAGACTTTAAACCAACAATGACAAACAAAAACATTACAAGCTGATAAAGGGTTCAATTCAACAAGAAAACCTAACTATCCTAAAAATATATGCACCCAACAAAGGAGCACACAGACTCATAAAGCAAGTTCTTAGAGACCTATGAAGAGACACAGAAGACCTATGAAGATGACGACAGAATGATAGTAGGAGGCTTTAGCACTCCACTGACAGAATTAGATTATTGGGCAGAGACAACTAACAAAGATATTCAGGACCTGAACTCAGCATTCGACCAAATGGGCCTAACAGATATCTACAAAACTCTCCATTCAAAACAACAGAATATACATTCTTCTCATCTGCACATGGCACATACTTTTCAACTGACCACATAATAAGCCATAAAACAATCTTCAGCAAATTTTTAAGATGTGATTCACTACATAATGATTATCACATATTTTGAAGTTGACAGCTAAATCAAAAACACAATCCCAGCCAGGCACAGTGGCTCAGCCTGTAATCCCAGCACTTCGGAAGGCCAAGGTGGGTGGATGACTTGAGCCCAGAAGTTCAAGACCAGCCTAGGCAACATGGCAAACCCCACCTCTACTAAAAATACAAGAAGTAGCCATGTGTGGTGGTGTAGGCCTGTAGTCCAAGCTACTCAGGATGCTGAGACAGGGGAATTGCTTGATTCCAGGAGGCAAAGAGTGCAGTAAGCCAAGACTGTGCTACTGCACTCTAGCCTGGGTGACAGAGCCAGGGTGCCTTTAAAAAAAAAAAACAAAAGGAAAAGGAAAAAGAACACAAAACACAATTCCATTCACAATAGCCACAAAAAGAATAAAATACCTAGGAAAACAGCTGCCAAGGGTGGTGAAAGAGCTCCACAACAAGAATTACAAAACACTGCTCAAAGAAATCACAGATGACACAAACAAATGGAAAATCATTCCATGTTCATGAATAGGAAGTATCAATATTACTAAAAAGGCCATACTGTCCAAAACAACTTACAGAATTAAACGCAAATCCTATCAAACTAACAAGGACATTCTTCACAAACTTAGAAAAAACTATTTTAGCCGGGCGCGGTGGCTCAAGCCTGTAATCCCAGCACTTTGGGAGGCCGAGGCGTGTGGATCACGAGGTCAAGAGATCGAGACCATCCTGGTCAACATGGTGAAACCCCATCTCTACTAAAAATACAAAAAATTAGCTGGGCATGGTGGCGC